AATCAGTTCTTGTTCCGATTCCTGTCTAGCGTTGCGGGTCGTTGGCTGCTAGTTATAGTAGCAACAAACGGTATAGTACGGACGATATCAGTGTAATCCAGAAGGGGTCAGACTGGATGGCACCCAGTGTTTGCTACTCGCAAATTTGAAACAGAGAAAGTCGTGACGATGGCACTGGGCTTTCAATTTTTTGGTTTCCCATCCGAAGTTTGCTGCAACTCGATACGGTAGCCCGGCTTGGACTCGAACGACACAAACCCATGTTTAGAGTTCGTAGACAGTACAATAATTTTGTTATCGTTTATCTCTATACTATGGTCTTGTCCGCGAGGCACTTTCTGTAATATCTCTAGCCGCCGCTGCCGTTGACACTGCCACTGCCACTGATGACAGTTCGTTGACGAACCACCACCACTCGTTTGTCGGGGTTGTCCCAAGGGCACGTCGTCGTGGTTGTCGTTCCTTGTACGGTTCCTCCGGGTTCTTTGTGGCAGAACCATGCCGCACCCAGCGCGTGTGTTCTTCGCTTCCACTCCGGTCCGCTTCCACGAAAGGCCACGGACGCACCCGTGCCGTGACCCGAACCGTGTTGCACGCGAGGAAGGRTCGTTCGAACGCCTGCCTTCCCGCGACACCAAAACCTCCCGGCTAAAAGCCACACTTCCGAATGGGGTCAAAGTAGTTCGGCGTCACGCCCGACCGGGTGTTGCACTGGTAGTTGAGGTTCAGGGAAATAATGTAGTGAAACCACTGCGTGGGAAGGTACAGGACGTCCCCCGCCTGTAGGACGACCTCGTTGCTCTCGGCCTGGGCAAACTCGGGAAAGCTCTCCAGGTCGGGGTCGCACCAGTCCACGGCCGAGTGCCTCGCCGARGGGTGGCCCTTGGGCARGAGGGATAGGACGCCGCACTGGTTGGGRTGCGACAGAATGTACCGACGCTCTCCCCCCATGACCGCAATCGCGTTCCGGCTCTGATCAAAGTGGTTTTCAGCAATGACCCCGCGCATGCCAAAGCGGCAGTGTATCCCCTTTTGTTCCATCGGATCGACGATGTAGAGGTTCTCCTTGGGCTGGAAAAAGGGGAGCTCGTCAAAGAGGTACTCGCTGCTACCCTTGTCGCATTTCCCATCCGGGGACTGCTCGCCGCACCCGATCAGCCGGTAGTACCAGTGGGGATCGTGGGGCCCCACCGTTTCCCCCTCCGTCAGGTTGGCGTGTGTGAGCCATTCCGCGTAGGTCATGCGCATCATCTGGGTCGGCTGCTGCCAGTGTGCGAGGTCCTTGTCTACACCTCGGCCATCGGGGTGGCCGTCCCCCATGAACTGGTTGTTGCCCCGGCGCATTCCCACGTGCTGTTTTCGGCGGACCTGCGAACCGGCGTTCCAGTACATAAAGTGGTTGGTCTCGGAATACTCGGTTCGGTGCTTGACGTTTGACATGAGCCGGTCCATGTATCCCGGGGCCATCCATCGCTTGGCGGTTTCCTGGACAGCGGGATCGTTGGAGACCACAAAGGGGACTTCCTGCTTCCGGTAGTTGAGYGCCTTTTGGTAGTCCTTTTCGTAATCAAAGACACAAATCCCCTGGTAGATTCTGAGGTCTTCGGGAACCTCGTGGTCGTCCGGGTTCCAGTGGTCCAGGATCTGCAGCAGGTTCCACGCATACGGATAGTTCTCGGGCGGGTGTTCCGGGCAATTGTGAATGTCGTAGGGGGCCGGGAGGTGTTCGGGTTCTTCGAAATCGCCGTCGTCGTTGACCCTCATGGGCATCGTTTTGAACTTGTACCGCTGCTCCACCCTGGGCAGGTCCATCGCGTCGTATTCTTTCCGCAGCTGGGCGTAGTAATCGGATTTGTCCCCAATGTGCGGCATCGATCCGGGAATTGTGTAAATGGTGGATGGCTTGAGATCTGGCAAATCGTCGCCCTTCTTGTTCGTGTGCAGGGTGTTCTCGTGGTCCCGGTGCAATCGGTACCGGATKTCTCGGCGAAAGAYCCACCGGTTCATGTTTGCCAAGATCGWGTTCGTCCAGCCAATCCCGGAAGCGTCGTCGTCGCCGACCACGATCTCCCCCGGCCCAAAGAAAAAGAGCGCGAGCATCAGCATGCACCCGATAATGACGATTACGCTGGCGATCTGAACCAGMGTGACGAGGGCGTCTTCGTCGCTGAGGATGCGCCGGACGCCCTTCCACCATCGGTGCTGCCGGCTCCGGACGGTGCGGCGGACCCGGCGTCTCCGCGTTCCGTCGCTGTTGTTCCTGTTCGCCGCGGTGGTTCCGCTGCTYGCTGCCGAAGACGAGACAGAGGGGGGATCCAGTCCCACCGTGCGTCGTTGGTGCATCATGGTGGAAGAAACAGTGGTGCGTTTGGATCTGAAAGAATCGAATCTATGGATCGAGGAGACGGGTAGCTTCCTTCGCTCTGGTTGCTTTGTCGYGTTGYCSTTTTGYCSTTTTGCTTGGTCTCGTTTTCTTTCCTGAGGACCGTGACGTGTTGGGGGGTCGATGCTATCGGTGACTGGTGTGTGGTATGTTACAAATACTGTAGTACAGTACCTAACTGAGATAATCTGAATCAACCAAAAAGGAATCCGGAGCCTTTCTCTGTCGTTGCGATTGCGGAGGGGTTTTGCGCCACCTTTGTTCGTTGCTCGTGATAGTGATGGTTTGAGTGCGACGTATTCGGTGGTGTGGTCCTCGGTTTTGTCGCTTGGGAATCAAAATGACATTTTCTGGCCGTTGTTGTTTTCTGTTCTTGTTTTGGCGTTTTGGGGTTTCGCGGTGTCTAGCATCCTACTGACGTCCGGTACTCGTACTACGAGTGAAGCGCTACACGGTGCTTCAATCACATGTACTTCTACTATTGTATTTTACTGTACAGTACGGTACCTTACGGTACGAGTACTCGTACGCTGGTTGTGTACAAGTACTGTATGGCACCTAYGGTACGAATTTTCGTCACTTCAGCATTTTAGTTACATTCGTACGGTACACATGAAGTATTTTGTACTTCTACCGTACTGTTTTTTATTTTTAAAAAATACTGTACTACGAACAACTCGTTGGGGTAGTACTGCGACTCACTCCTAGGTTGGCTGGGCAACMGAGGAGGTTAACGGTCTATCTCGTAGTACCGGTAGGTCCTACGGTGCGGCTGCATGCCATTGCATTGCTTCCCTGCTAGATTCTGTAAACTACCGTATGATTTRTTTTTAGCAGAGGAAGTCGACTAGACTGTTCCTCTTCGCTCCATCGATCGAAAGCTAACCTCTTACCGGTACGTAAAGTACGGTACTTGGTACTTTACCTGATAGGTCACAGTGGGACATGGGACGTACCGGTTCGTGCATAGTATATCAGGTACGATACGAGTAACGTACGGTACCAAGTATGATGAGACATCTGCATGCGAGATGCGAGATGCGAGCTGCGAGCGGATAACGGATAACCAATAACCACGGCAACTAGCAAGGGCATGTCACGTACGTTYGTACCACGTTCTGCTATTTACCATAAATAGATATAATAGATACGAGTACGTACTTGGGCAGGGGTCATAATTTAGAATTTAGACCCCTGTACTTGGGTACGTACGTATTACGTACGTTCCTGCCCATATAKGGTACGTTCATAGCTATTCGTGTACCAGTACGTACGAAATAGTACGAGTTAGTAACTCGTGCTGTAGCTTCTTGTTGTTACTAAGAATAGCATTTCAGTAGTTTTGWACTACTAATCTTTTAACTCTTCAAGAACTCGTATTGGAAAAACCCGCAAGGTAGTATATAATGCAAGCTGCTGATCCATCGAATATTGTTATTGACGRCAAGACCTTTCTTTCTAGTTCGTTCCTCARTTTTGACTTTTCGTTTTTATCTATCCAACGSCAATGGATCCGAGGACGACGGCCGAAGCAACCGCTCCGACGCGCCATATCAATACTCCTGCATCCATTGCAACGCCGCGGCCAGCTGCTCGTCGGCGTCGTAATACGCAAAGTTATTGTGGTTGTTGTTGTTGTTGTAGGCTCCCCCGTCCTCCCCGTTTTCGTCATCGTCTTCGCCGGCCCCGCCACCGCTTTCTTCCCAGCAGTGGTGGGTCCCGTAGTACGGCGGAAAGAGCTCKGTCCCACACTCGTAACAAAAGTGCGTCGCGCACGTGGGACACTTCATGTGGAAGCAGCCCTCGCTGCGCTCCACACCCGTTTGGCAGTTCGGACAGCGCTGGCCATGGTTCAGCACGTACTCGAGGGCCGCCCCGTCCTCCTGACAGAACTGGCTGTACGATTCGATCCAGGGGTATTTTGACGAGACYTTTTCCTGGATCTCTTCGGAGGCGGCTTTGTAGCGACTGCAGAACTTTAGGATCGGTTTCGGGTTGCACAATCGCTTGTGGCTGGATACGGTGTGCCTCGTCTTCGCCCCGGGCTTTCTCGCACCGTTCTTGCTACCAGAGCCGCCGATCACGGTACAGATTTCGTCGTCGTACACCCTGGTCAAGCACAATTCGCACCACGTGTTTTTGCAGCTCTCGCAATAGACAAGATACTGCAAGTCATCCGACGAAAACAACGTCGGCTTTTGCAGGCTCGTTTTCCCGCTGGCGGCATCGATGGACACAACGCTCTTCCGACGGCGCATGGATCCGACGGCTCCACAGGTTCTTGTGAGCAGGCASCGATCGAGGGACCACGCGGGGGGATTCTTCAGATCCTTGTACCAGGCCCTGGCGGCGGCCGTGTCGGATTCGCTMAGAAAGGGCTTGCAGAACGTCATGGGTAGCTCGCGCTTGCAGGTTTCGACGGGGCAAAGGAAGGGATTGGTCCGGTGTTGCTTGAGGTCTTGCACCTTGAATCGGAGGTACGAGTCGAAGCAATCCCGGCAACAGTAGTGCTGGCAATACGGAAAGACCACCCCGTCGCTGTACAAAATGGATTCTTCGAGGCAAATGGGACACCGAGTCAGGTACAAGTCCTTCCAATTCTGGAGCAGGGCATGTCGGCCAAAATCGAGGGTGTTGTCGATGCAAACGCGGGTGGCCACGGGAGGCTTCTTGCTCGAACTTTTCGGTTTGGGTTTCTTTTTGTTAGCAATTGTTTTACGACCGACTGCCTTTTTTGAGGCGTCGGCAGTTTTCTTCGCCGCCGCTTCTTCCAGCAACGCTGCTTCCTTTCGGGGATGCAGCAAYGACCCRATGGTKGGATAGTAGAGTTGATCCATCTTTGGAGGAAGGATGACCAGCAGATAGTCCGGGTGATTCTCGTCGGCGTAAGTTTTCCAGCTGTTCGATGCATTTGTAACAGGTGCATCACCGTCCTCCTCGTCGGTCGCTATGSCGTTTGTATCACCCGTATGATTCCCATGATAGAAGGATATGGCCTCGTGCTCCAAAAATTGACAAACAGAGAAACTCCCTTCGTCGCGCAACAATTCATGGCACCTTTTGGCCAATGAAGACCGGTATTTTTCCTTGTCCAGCAACGGCCATTCCTTGGGATAGTATTCCCAWGTGAGTCTGAGATTAGATGGTCCATCGTTCTCTGATTCAGTCCAATCGTCATTTTTGTTATGGTCAATATAATTGCTATTATCATTCTCGCCAGGGACAATATCTTCTTTATCGGCGTTCTCGCAAGAAAAGTAGAGCAAATCCAATTTCAATATGGGAGGATTGTCTATCGTGAAATAGCGATAGGACCCATCACTTTTGACGAGTCGAGCAAACGCAATCTTAGAGGAAGACAGTDTCATGTACACTGTTCCGCAAAACCCCTTCGAGAATTCTGAGACCTTTAATCTTACTTTGCGATCATCGTTGTTATTGTTGCTGTTTTGTTCGTGGTACTCGTCGAGCGTCTCTTCAGAGTYTAGTTCGTTTTCTCCGTCGTCGTAAATTGCACACAGCGTTTCCCAGTCAACGTTCGTTGGCGTCATCTTAAGCGGATTCGAAGCAGACTTTTSTACATTGTCTTCGTCGTCAATTCAAGGTTTCGATGTTTTCTTCAGTTTGGTTTTTGCTTTTTGATTATTATTCTTTTCCCAATTTGATCACCCATCACCTGCTTTCAAACCTGCTTCCGAGTGTTTCGAGTTTCAGTTGTGAGACAGTACTGGTACTCGTACGTACAATCACGAGTGGCAAAAACTATCGCGCGTGTTTTTTTATGAGTGTTGGTAGCGACGGACAGATGCGGAACCCCCCCCCCTCTGCATACCTCGACGAGCCTTGTCGTAAAGTGCTCATTCTTGAAGTATTGCAGCAACTATTAGTACTTGGGGTACCTCATGGTGAGATGATATATGATGCGAACAATTGATATCACGCGTTGTGTACCAATTGCAATTGCGTTTCAGAAGGTATTTCAAATGTTAACTTAAGGTTAGCTTCGCACCTCCGCATAAGTCACCCGTTTTAGAAGTCAAAGCAAGCAGCACCCTGCATATACTCTCTGGATAAATGGTGACCTAATGCTTTTATTTCGATAATTATATGATACTTGATATGAAAAAAGACAATTCCAGAAGCTCATTTGAATGTAGCACAACTCATGTTGATAGCAGTGTACAATCGGTTTTCGTATTTAAGAAGTTGCGAAAAGGAGCTTTTGCCCAACATTTAGCACTTCGCTTGAAAAAAGAGCTCCTAAGATGCAACCCCAGAAGATGACATATGGAGCCTGGAAGCTGTAAACAGTTGCCAAGCCGCCCGCCAAAATGAAAACCATCGTATCTGCATATGTGTGTACCGATTTTGGGTATAGGGTAACGCATCCGGAAACAATCAAACCCACAGCCGAAGCATTTAATCCCTTCAAAACTGCCTTGAACCAAGCCAAGTGACGGAATCGAGACCAAAATGGGAGCATCGCAAAAATCAAAATAACACCAGGCCCGAATAAACCAACAGCAGCCGTCACAGACCCCGGAAATCCGGCAGTAACAGCTCCCAAAAAGGCAGCAAAGTTGAACATTGGTCCAGGCATAGATTGGGCAATTCCTAGACCTTGGAAAAACTGTTCATTAGTTATCCATCCTCGTGGGACAAGTTCGCTTTGAAGCATCGGAAGAACAACAATACCTCCACCAAAAATGAGACTTCCGATACGGAAATACAATTCAAAAATATCCAAAAACAGGTTTGATTCACCCGTGGAGTTGACAATCAGAATTGAGCCGACCAATAACCCAAGCCAAAGAAACAAGTATGCAAAGCCTTGGAAAACACTGAGTCCAATCTTTTCGACCAGCATGCGATCTTTGTCGGATGGCTCCGTACTTTCACCAGAAGATCGGAAGTAAGTACCGATTGATTTGTCTGGTCCCCGCAAAAAGTCAAATAGGCACAACGTAGCACCAGAMACCAACAGAATTGGATAAACAATTTGACTGCTGTTCGATGGTATGTTTTCGTCACCAGCGATCATGACAGCAACAGCACATGCTACCTATTTTYGGTGTTGATGGATAGAATTGAAAAAATGAAACGTTAATAGAACATAACSGCAGAGAACTGAACTTAAATGAAAAAAGTAATTGGTCGTTTGGAGACGAGAGGAATACTATTTCTTTACTCACCATACCGATTCCGATCCCAAACTTGTCAAGCTTCTGGACGAACTTGAAGGAAGCCTTGAAAATCAAACTCATGGCAGCCGGAGGAATTCCCAGAAGCCAAATCGGAGGATTGGCTTTATCGATGAAATTGTATAGAAACATACCAGAGAGTGTGAGCACTGTGAATCCCGGTAGAGCCCAAAAGATAAGGGCGATCACTCCAGAAATRGCTCCGCCGTGAGTAGAAGCTGTCGAAATGACCAGCTGAGTAGAACTTGGACCCGGAAGTCCCTGACCTGTAACATACATGTTGAAACAAAGGTGTCAGAACGGAGAGACCGGAATACAGACCAATACAGTAAAATGTTAATAACAATAGTTCAAATTTCTAGTGCACTAGAAATCGTTTGACATCAACAATATATAATTATTTGCTACACCATGAACTACATTATGATATATTCTAGGCGACTTACCGAGAGCGAACAACTCGGTAAACACATCCTCGTCGATAAAGTTATTCACACTGACCAAGTGGTCACGAAGGATAGCAACGTGGGCAGTTGGACCCCCAAACGCAATGAAACCCAAATACCAAAAGAGCGAGAGAGTTTCCTTGATGCGAGTCAACAGAGGTTGGGGAGCACTGGCAGCGCGAGCTGCGCCTAGACCTGCTTCTGACGACACAAGAGGATCGGTCTCCTTGGCAGTCATGATGAGATAAAATATTGTTCGCAGTTCTTTCTACGGTTTTATTTGTGCAGCGGGCAGTGTTTGATAAAACAAATGACGAGGTGATCTCTTTGRTTGACACGCAAACCAGTCAGGAGGATCCATCTCCAGCACATCCATCATCAAAATACACAGGTATGGTTAATCAATACGTAAAAAACTGCGGGGGGAAAATCAGGTTTAATGGTACAGAAAAGACGCTGCAGTACGGTACTTGGTACGACGAGGTGTCAAAGAAGTCAGTCTAACTTGCCGCGCCGATGCGCGAAAAAGATTCAACTGAGTAATCTAGGGTACAGGTACCGGTRTGCCAAGATTCGCCAAGATTCATTGTTTAGTGTCAATCGACCAACACGAACAAAGGTACTCGTACCTGCAAAGAGTACACAAATCATGTTTCTACTACTAGTACTATTCATAGTAGTTGTACGGTAAAGACAAAGAGATAGAACTACTAGTAGTAGTAATAATAATAATTCTACCGTAATGAGACAAATGCTATGATTTGACAGAGATACCTGTCGAATTCTGTGCTGCAGCTTCTGTATCGAAAATCTGCTTATCGATTTGAATTGACGATGCCCATTTCTGCACTGCCTCTTTCACGGCTCTCGCCTTCAGTAACATTTCATCGTACTCGTCCTCTGCTTCGCTAAGTGCAGTAATGGCTCCACCGGCGCCGATGCTAATTTTCCATTCGGTTTTCTTTTTAGCTGGAGTGATCGTGGCAGATCGAATCATTATGTTCATGTCCATGCAGCCATTGACGCTTATRTATCCTAGAGATCCAGAATATGGACCACGGTCACAGTTCTCCTCGAGATCTTGAAGGATTTCCATGGTGCGCATTTTCGGTGCTCCAGTCATACTTCCTCCAGGAAAGGATGCTCTTAGCAAATCAATGGAGTTACACGAATCCGAAAGTGTTCCGCGAATCGTTGATACCATTTGGTGAACGGTGGCGAAGGATTCGATATCCATCAGCTTCGAGACATGCACACTTCCGGGCTTGCACACTCTACTCATATCGTTTCTCAAAAGGTCCACAATCATSAGATTTTCTGCTCGGTTCTTCAAGGATAATTCGAGAGATCGGGCTCGTCTATCGTCTTCCCTGGTCTCGGCGTTGGTAAGACATACCCCATTCTTAGGCATGACGCGGGCACATGTCCCTTTGATGGGTTTCGCTTCAGCTTGCAGAAYGGGTGGTATTTCGGGATGCGGTTGGTGCCGCGAGACACTCATGAAACGTTCAGGAGAAGAGGAGCATATCACTACAGAAGTAGAAGACGGTACATCTACCGCTCTTTCCCACTCGTTTCTTCTTTTTGATGCAATGTTCCAACGAAAATAGGATGAATACGGTGCTGGATTTACTTCTCGAATGATTTTGTAAAGATCAAATGAAGAAACGTTTGGACCCGAGATGCTTGTTTCAAGCTGGTTTGTAAGACACAGCTCATAAGAATCCCCCTTCTTAATGTATTCATGACATCTTGCAACGTCCTCTTTATATGTTTCCTTTGGTCTGTTTGGAACAAACTCAAGCGGCGGCCGATCTATTTYTTGAGACTGATTCGAAAAACAACTCACTYTAGTACTGGTCGAGCATTTGTCAGTGGCCAGTTTCAAATCTGCGTCGAYTTGTTTCATCCATGCAATATTTTCCTCGATATCGCTGTCTTCTTCTGCGAGTCCAATCAAGTACCATKTATTTGTGGGGTGGTGGTAAACCATGCTTTGTCGCGCTAAGAAAAAAGCTGCGGTTGGAACTCGTCTCTTWTCGTTCTCGTTATCATTAGGCCCGATTTGCTCCTCTTTGCTAGTTCTACCTGTTTTYCCATTATTAAAGACGCCCCCCTCGAGTTCCTGTAGGTATCGTTGCGTGTCGTGCCGAACTTCGTAGCCAAGAAATCCTAAAAACCCGCCACGATAATTGAAGGGTAAGATCTCTAAAAAATTTTCGTCGTTTTCTTTCACCCAATCTAAGGCAGGACTATTTTCGTCAAACTCGACCCATCCAATGTTGTTACATGAAGTGAAGTCATGGCTCTCAGTATCAAAGAGTTGTTTCTCAAGACGACTTAAAATGTCATTCTCATTCCCATCGTTTTCTTGTATGTGATATTCAATGATATCATCCACTCGAGAAGGCGCTGCCAAAATATCCAATTCTCCACGCCCCGTCTGATAGGAGGAACTRTCCAGCCAAATGGTGTGGGATTTCYGCGCGTAAAATTCTTCAAAGACCCACAAGGGAGAAAAACTCGAAAACTCAGRAGGTAGCCGATGCACCATGACTCGAAATCGAGACGAGAGTTGCGTATCCGAATCCGAAATTTTGGCTTTTGAGAGGGATGATTGCAATGGTTTGGATGTCTCTCGGACTAAACTGCTCTCTTCAATACCCTTTTGCTTATCAACTTTATGCTTTKCAGTTATACGCACAAAGTTCTCCAGAAGTGCTAGGCCATTTTCGGTCCCAATACTTTCTGGATGAAATTGAACACCATAGTGAGGATTCGATGCATGCTGAATGGCTTGCACAACGTTATCACGACTCCTGGCAGTGACCACAAGACAGTCGGGTAAATCGTAGGCACAGAGAGAATGATATCGAACGACGCGGAAGCTAGAAGGAAGCTTTTGAAACAAGGAAGGATGTGTCGATTCTTTAGAATGTGCTGCTTTTCTAGAGAAATCGTATTCCCATGGGTCCTCTTGTACGATTTGATGATCCTGCCCATGAATCGGAACAGGTGCTCTATCTACCATAGCGCCATAGGCYAAGGACATCAGTTGATGACCAAGACACACTCCTAGAATTGGAAGATCGGGATTTTCTGAGATCGCCAAATGAGACAGAAGTGGTTGTTCTTGGGGCGTGCCAGGTCCTGGCGACAGTACAATCCCATCGAATGTCTCGAAATAYGACGTGAGATCTCCTCGAGCAGCGGCCTCGAATGCATCCTTGGCCACAACAGTCGGAGGATCTACCGTTAACTGTGAGAGCATATCCACCAAATTATAGGTAAATGAATCGTAATGATCAATGACGAGGAGAGAAACGTTGTACTTGCTTTCGTTATCGAAGGGTCTGTTTGGAATTGAACGCAGATCTATGGRCTTGAAATCATCGTAACCGGTGCTTCTCGAGCATAAAGATATAATGTTCTTGGTTCTAGCAACGGTGTCGATGAACCGTCGTTTCTCACCATTGAAATCGGAAGTCGGAGGAACCACGACGAATGATTCTATCGTCGTCATCAACGAAGTGAAGTTCAGCAAAAATAGAGATATGATGCACCGACAAAATTTGGTTCGCGGAGACATTGTTACCGCCGACAATCTTGAAAGCGCCATTGAATTTACCACCCTCGATGRTGAGATACTAGCCGGAGATCGACAGATCGATATATTACAATAATATGATTCGAATAATTCTAACCAACGTCGCTGTTCGCGATGAAACAGGAATGCCGAKAGACAAAGAAGATCACCTGGAAAACATCCGCAATGAAAAATGATTCTCGTTGCTCAACTTGATAGYTATKATTTTTCGTATGGATCTTTTGGTTGTTCGAGTCTGAGATCAGARTACTATTCTGGCGRCAGAAAATTTGWAGACGGTTCTGTTGTCAACGAAGATGATGGCATCGATAATGTGAGACACGTTCTGAACGAGCCAAAAAGTGATGGTGGTCCTTWKYCATAGTTGACAGAATTCGAACGAAATTTATGACGCAGAGAAGAAAAAATTTGGGGGACGAGCGAATAGGGAAGAAAATCTGTCTGTGAGCGAACCCTTATTACTTCGTGCTTACTGCAAGGAACTAAAAATTGAAYAAGGTACTGTGCTACTAGTAGTACGAGTAGTACTGTAATAAGTGAGTGCTTTTTTAACTAGTAAAATGCAAATTTAAGTTCTATTTTTGTGTATCAGCAATTGACTGTAAACACTTCAAAGGTACAAATAGCATAACCTTATGTACTATTGAATTGAATAAGTCAGAAAATATCTTGTTTGTTGCAGTAATAACTGCTTTGTTTTTGTTGTTGCTGACAAGTGCCCTTGGCTGCTGTTAGTAGTAGTAGTAGTACTACTACTACTACTACTACTACTACTACTACTACTACTACTACTACTACTACGTCTTCTTGGTCACTAAATGTTCTTGCAACCACATTCTGCCCACTGCCACGACTGTTCTCAAAAGGTGGAACTACCAAATCATGATACCTGCTCTCTTTGCCAGATGCCTGAGATTGTGAACATCTCTTTCGATGTTCTCGTCATCTATCACGACTCAGATGGTGGAGGCAGACCATTACATCTCTAGTACGACAACGGATGTCCACACTTGGCTTCCCTCCAATTGCCATTGACACTCTTGCTGCTACATGTCTCACCGAATGGCTAGACACTGGCACAGTTTCTCCAGAGAAATATCCTACAACCCTTCATCCAGTTATCCATTTCCAGAGTGAGATTGGTTGGCACCACGTGTTTGCCAGTCACATTTCACTCCAGTGGTTTACTGATCTTGATCTTCATTCCAGCTCTTACTCCCCACTTGTGTTGGGGGGCTATCTAATTCTTTCTTACCTCTTATATCTCATTATGGGAACAGCGAAATCAAGATCTCCATGGCTACACACTTTCTCAGAAGCAGGCAAAGCATCGACCACAGCGGGCGGTGATGAAAGTCCACACTCTGTTTGAACTGAAATCACAGACCTTTCCATCCCACGCCCACCTATTCCCAGAAGATATGGAAACCTTTTTATTGACTACATCTACTTCCATGCTCACATATTACCATCAAGTCTACAAGAAAACGATTTTGGCAAGTGTCAACAAAGCAATACTTGCCTCTGTCTCCAACACTTGCCCTATTACTCAGTACTTTCAACATTTGCCTCATAGTAAACAACCACCGGAGAGCGTCACACAAGATGGGCTACTAGTCTTTGATGCGTACTCCAAGAAGAAACAATACGAACCCTCTGCATCACCAAAGATTTCTTTGGTCTCTGCCGCAACCAACTGTACCATCCAAACAACTATGAACAAATATAACAAATATTTGAATCATATTTTGGTTTATTTCAATCAAATTTTCAGTGTTTTGTTCTCTCAACTGGTCCAGCAAGATTCATGCATTTAAGGTTTCAACATCATTTTATGTGCATTTGATTCCTTTCTTTTATGATTAATTTTGGCTACCATTTTATGGATTCTTGCAAGCTCAGTTTAAATATTATTTTGGTGTTAAATTATTCAGATATGGTTAATGTGAAATTTGGCACCACTGGCACCAAAATATTCAGGCACAAGAGATAGAGATTTAGTACAGATAATCCTTAGACCCCCTGGGCCTGTGTGTGTTCCTTATCCAGAAGTATATTCCAGTGTTGAAGTTGTTCTGGCTGGCATTTGCATCGCATACCAACAACACCAACAACCCAAACAAGGGCTCCCAGTATTCCATCAAGACCATTGTTCTATTGAAGAACAATGCCTGGAGTATATGCTGGCTGCCTGCATACTAGTATGCAGTTTAAAGAAGAATGACCAGCCTCTCAATGTAGTTCCAGTATTATTTATGGACCAGGAGATGTTTCTGTTCAAGATGTTATTGTTTCTGACATTTGTGTTGCCCATCAACGACAAAAAACCAAGTCCCAATTTAGATCTTCTTTTAGATCTAAACAACCCCAGTCCTAGTTCAGATCTTCTTTTTCATCCAAACCCAGGCCCAATTCAGATCTTCTTTTACTATATCTAAACACCAGTCCCAAAGGATCCCAGCTGCTCCCAGCTTCAGCATGCTGGCCTACTCCTTTGAGTCTTCCTTGGCAGCAGCTTTGTTTGCTGAAGAAGCTGCCAACTCTATTACAACATGCTCCTGTGAGGAGCAAGTATCCATCCCARCCTTTTCAGTCTTTGTTACWGCCTGGAAGAAGACTCCAGTCCTGATTTTCTTGTTGTTTCCAGAATTTTCACTGAACAACACCAACACCAACCCAAGCCCCTACCAACAAACTTTGGTTTCTATAAATGCAGTTGCTTCTGGAATCTATGTTGGAAGACACAAACTGAAACATATTCTTTCTGATCCTTCTGATAAACCATGCATGGATTTTCTCTTTATTCATATCCCCCCCTCCAAACAGTGTCCTCATTGCCTTACCATTGACAATCTTGTTTGTGATGCCTTCTCCAAGAAGAGGTGTCACAAACCACTGCTCAGTTACAAAACTCCCCTTGCCCTGTCACCTAGTAAGCAACATCCTTATTGTATCACCTTTGATAAACTTGCCTACTATGATCTCTTTTCTACTAAGAAGCACTGTCACCCACAGATACTCCTAAAGTAAAGTTTCCTACTGCACTCACTGCCATCACTAAACCCAAATACTTTGTATTTACTGGTTGCTCCTCCATAAAACCTCCTTGGAGGGAGGCAGTGTTGCACCTTGGAGCAGCTAGGAGTACTCTTCTTCTTTGAAGTCTTGGTTCTGGCCATCATAGTGCCTCTTCTAGTTCCTGAGGTCAAATATAATATTAAGTTTTTTGTAGTGATTCAATTTCCTSACAAAGATGCCAGATTTTTTTCTGTCTCCTTCTTTGCTCCAACCCTCTTTATGATGTCCACTTTTTGGATTGCAATACTTTTTTKTGTTTTGGGATGCTCTTGTCCAACAATCTTTCAATGTGGTTTACCCAAAAATGAAATTTGTTGTGTARGAGTACAATACCAAAAGCCTCATCCAAAACATTGAATAGATTGCTTATCAATTCATATTATATATTCCCTAAATTTGGTRTCGTTTGGGCTGATGGCTGACATTATTTTGGTGACAAAGTAATGAAATGCCTCACCATCAGCAAATCCCTCCTGGTGTTGCCTATACTCTTTATTCAGGGTCCATCCTAATAATCCTATTTGATCACCAATCCAACAGCTCCTGTAAAGCCATCAGGAACAAAATCATTGGAAAATATCAGCTGTAAAAACAATGACAGGAAAAAATTGTGGTAAGGGCCAGGGAGTGGTTACTCCTTCCTTTCTCGTCTCCTGGTTGAGATTAGAATGCCCTACCTAACCAGTTCCTGGCCAAAATTCACTGTTGTATTGCACACTTCTTGTGAAGCCTCTTGGTATTTTGTTTTGAGCTGTTTTTCAAAATCTTGGGTTGTAACTTCCACAGGTTTGGCAATGCAATTCTTTAYCATAAACGCTTTCTGGATGTGAGGGACAAGCTTCTTATCTGGAAACTTAATGCTTGCAAACCAAGATTTCTTGAGCATCTCTTTCAACTGCTTGAAGACCTCTCCTTGCAGTATTTTGGAAATTTCCAATTTCCTGTCCCAAGAAATAGACATAAAGATATTGCTATGATTATTGACATTGACCTTCTTGTAGGCTTCAAATTTCTTCCTTTCCTCTTCTGTCATGGCAACACAACAAGAACCAAAGGTTCCGCCACTACTACTAAAAGAATCAGCACAGGGAAGTACTCCAGTGGGGGTGCCATCAACAACTGTCTTACTAGTAGTCCACAAACAGTGTTGGAAATATATTGCCAAAAACAACAATAAGATGAACTAATTCTCATCATCATCTTATGGAAGAAAAGTGCCAAGTCTAAATTGCAAAAACAGCAATAAAATGAACTTCTTCTCAAATTATCATCTCATGCACAAACAGCAGCATTAATTAAATAATCCTGAGAAATTTTAGAAAAAATAAAGTTGGAGGACTGTCATTAAAAAAACTACTGAAAAATGCTCAACATTGTTTCAACAGCAGTTCCAATCCAGACAGTTTTTAACTGCCCTAGAATAAGTGGGGCAACAATCTTTGTTGAGAGGTGCTGGGTATGGACAATTCAATTGTCATGTATCACAAAATAGGAAGAACACTGTTAAACCAGCACCCTAACTTTCACCATGAAGATTCAAGTACAATTGCAGTACTTCACACCAATACTCATTCAGCTGTGAATTGTTTGTCTACAGATATAACACAAAATAGTATCAAATGGGGTGGGTGGGCACCTAAATCTATGCACCAGTTGTAGATATTGGGCATTTATTTTTGCATGCAATGATTACTACTGTACTTTTACCAAAAACTGATTCATACTACTACAGTCTACCATTGGGCGCTTGCTAAATTTTTTATCTCATGAGTTAAGAGAGTTATTTTTTGCACAAAAGTGTGTGCTACCATATTTTKGCCTTGAATTTTTTAATCCCACCAGAGTCATTATACAGGAAAAAGATATGCCAAAATCCATACTCACCAGTGCTTTTAAACCGTATTAGAGTTTTAACCTTTAACAGACAGTTTGAGTTGTATCCTGGTTGCCAACTAGCTCTTGACAGAGACAAGCATCCCCATTTGAGGACTCTTGTTTTATGGGGGAGTTAGAGGTTCTGTCCTTCTAATATGAATCAATATTTGTGTACAGATACACAGCAACATAAAAAAATCTACAATTGAATTGTCTTTTTTCTGCACCATTGTTATTGGATAGTAGAGAAGTCTGTGAAACTGAAAATGGGTGACATAGTTGTGAAATTACCAATGTTAGCAGATACTGTTTTGTTTGATGATGTGTAGTAGATGCTGCAAAGGGGTTGGATGGATCAACTTAGTATTTGTTACTTTAAATGTCATGGTTAATTCAATTCTCAGCAATTA